TAATCGCAAATTTGAAAGGGTAGTTCATATGAAGTCAAAAAGATTCCAAAAAACGATCACAAAAGTATTTAAATGACTTTTCTGAGTGTTTTAGTTTTTATCTATAAGAACTAGGGCGTACCAGCTTATACAGCGAAGAAGCCCATAGTCTGTTTATCGATCGAACCGTTATTCTGAGAATTGGCATCATAGTTTTCGAAAGTCTTTTCCGAAAGCTATAAAAATTTTCTGAAATAGTTTAAAGGGGATCCACTTATGTAAGGAAGCTTCACACATCCCATTTTTTGATTGAAACCAACATTTGAGACTTAAAAACTGTAAAAATGAAAAGTTTGACCTTTACGAGGGCCACAAAACTTTAAGTAAAAACGTTTGGGCGTAACCACATAGGCACAGAAGTCTTCCCAGCCAGTTTTTTCAAATAATCTTAAAATTTGTGATTTGGGAGAGTTGTATTTGAGAAGAGGAACAGTTCTCAAAAAAACAATTGGACCAAAAATTCCTCCCAAACACTTTTTCGAAGGCTGTTGATGTATCGGAACCATTTTTTTGGAAGGAGTTTAAGTATTTTTAGGAAAAACTATAAGTTTTGAGAAAAACGAAAAAAAAATTTCAAAAAGTTTCATAACATCCGTTTCAAAAAAACTCCATGCATTTTCATGATAATTGTTTTTATCAGCCCCAAACTGTCCAAATCAAAATAAAAAAACTTTGGAAATAAACTTCTTGAAAAGAGTACCAGATGGAATTTTTTTCGTTCGAACAAGAACGGAAAATCAGCCGACAGAAATTAAGACGAAGCCAACAAATCCAAAAAAAGTCAACCTTTTTTTTTAAATGAGAAAATTGAACTAAAATAAATACTATCTGAAATAAAATAAGAAGTAGTTGTATTTGAATTTTCAAGAGACTGAGCAGTTCAGCAGATATGTGTAACAAAAGTTGTTTACGGAAAACAAAAGTCTGGTTTCTGATTACAAGTCACTTGCCCTCGCAAGTGAAAAAACGAGAACATTTTTTTTTCAAAAACTAGTCCGAACTACAATTTTTTTTTTCGGAAAACTACAAAAATCTAAATATTTGAGCCAATTTTTTCTGGATTAGATTTGACAAATTTTAGTACCGAAAAAGCGCTAAACTGAGCGTCAAATTAAGCTTTCCAAGTCTAATAACTAAGTATTTCATAGCTTAATAGAGGTTTATGCGTTATTCTCTAGCTTTGAAAACCCCAAACTGGACTAAAAAGAAAAATTTACGAACCATTTGTAAATTGTAAAATCTAGAGTGACTCACGACTGCAAGGGCTTCAATATGATACTTCACTCGATTCATTCGGATGATTATTTATCATCTGAAGAGGCGTGAGAAAACTTCAAAAACTAACTTTAAACTGAACAATACTGCTCGTATCAGCGCGAAGCCTTAAATGTTCCGACTGCCTTTTATGTTCTATGGAGCAGTTATAACATGAAAAATTTGAATGTAATAAAATAAAATTTAAAAACTTTTATTAAAACTTTCAGATTTTTTGGTAAAAACATCGCCCCACACGACATTTTAAATACAGATAGATTTTGCTCCTATTGACAAATCAATTATGGCATATAAGTTTCCTTCAACCAATTTGGAACGACTTCTAAGACGGATTAAATCTCCACTTACGTTTTAATAGTGCGAAATATATCGCGCGTTAATTGTTCCAAATAGGCCAAAATGGCAATCTTTAAACCCCCATAACTTTACGAAAAATGATCACAGGTGAAATATCTTTTCAAATTTAAGCTCAAGACAACAATAACTTTCGAATGATATAAAAAAACTCCGTCAAAAATGGCTAGTTAAAAAGTCGAAATTTGTCTCTAAAAAACCCACCCGGAGCACAAATATTCCGTTACTTCCGTTACGAGAGTCGGAATAATTATACAAATATGATATTTATGAGCCTATTATAAGCCTGCCTGCTCGTTATATCAGCTCAAATTTAGACAAAAGTTTAACTTTTCAAACCCATTTTTTTCGACAAAAAAACTCAAATAGACAACTAGAAAAAACGGAATCACAAGGTTGGTTGTTTAAAAAATACGATACAGAAATGACCCAAACGGATTTTATGAATCAAATCAATCGCCGCGAAAACAAATTGTGAACACTAGAAAAGAAAAAACTTTTTTGACCTAGGCAAAGCTGCTTTTAGCAAAACGCAAGCAGATTATCGCAAGCAAAAAAAAATTACTAACTCGAATTTTAAACTAAACACATTCAGCTAAAAAAAAATTTGGACCGCAGCTTGAGGCTTCTTAGGCAAGAATTCTACTAGCACTTAAATACGCGAAAATAGCTACATGTAATGTTGATTAGATAACGCACAAATCTGTGAAATGAAACGAGCGACGCATATAGGAACAAAAAGCGGATTCTTATCAACCAAGAATTGATATGATTGTAGAAACCAAGTAATTAACTTAGATTATCATTACATTCATCAAAATATGCAGCACGCGTCTATCTTTTGACGGCCATCCTGTTCACAAAAAAATCTATCAAAAAAACACATGCAACTGTTTGATACTCTCGCCATAGAGACGAATTGAAATCTATCGGGGAAACTTATCTTTTGATTGTTCAAATTAATTTTTTAGTTGGACCTTCCTCTGAACATAACTTGTTTCCAATGAATTGTGCGGCCAGTACTACAATAGAGACAGTGGACACTTAACACAAGGAATCAATGCCCGATTTTGTCTTCCCAGTCACGTGTTCGTCAAAAAGACATCCCGCGTAGGCTGATGAAATATATCGCGTTTCTTTTTGGAAAAGACTCTTAGTTGAATTTTCTGAAGCCGAACAATTTTCAAAAAATACTTGATATTCGGCCATCCTGTAATTACATGACTAATATTAGATTTTGTTTCACATCTGGTTTCAAAACTGATTGCGCAGAAAACGATATCAATTGCTTCTCAAATCCCCTATCAAAATTGTTCTCAGCTGTCTTTAAATTTTCTATTATCAATTGGGTTACAATAAGTGCTAATGAAGAATTTGCAAGATTGCTTAAGGCGAGTAGTCATTGACGACAATTCGCATACATTTTTTTTGAAACACACCTTTAAGATAAGCCTAACCCAAATTGAGAGAAACTGGATCAATCTAATTAACCGAACGATAGAAAAATTTAACTATTGAACTTACAGTGCAGAGACATGGAATTTGTAACTTTTTACTTTCAACGAGCAAGTGAACGCATTTTTTATTCATCTTTTTAGCGTTTTCTCCACAACTAGCAAAGATACAAGAAAAATTTTTTTTACACATTAAATGAAACTATTTGGAAGGTGCTAACTCAGTCAGATATTCAAAATCTTGTTTTGAAGGCGTAAAATAGCCAGTTAATCACAACTAGTTTCATAGGTGTTCTTGCCCTGGAAACGAACACAAGGAATTCGAAATTATGGGCTAATCTTGGATCTTTGGTAGGTTGATGAGCTTCACTTACTCATATGGCGCGTATGTTTAGGACAAAGAAAGAGTTCCATGGTCCGGCTCTGAAATAAGGTTCAACTTTAAAGAGTATTTTCGTGCCGATGATCGAAGTAAGCCAACAAAGAACCCTTCTTGCAAATGTCCACAAAAATTAAAATCTCCGATCCATGCAAATTTCGTTATAAGGTCTCTAACTTTTGTCCAACACTCTGGTTTAAGCGCCCAACACCTTTTTACTATCTGTATCGTCAAAACCGATAGGACCAATTTTCGACACTGGACGAAGTAACTCATCAATTCCTCTGTCCGTGATTTTTCCCGATATGGAGAGTAAGTGAAGATTATCAGTTTCCCAAAGAACCCATAAATTTAAATTCCTTGTGGACTTTTAAAGAATATTTCCAGAGCTAGAACACCTTTCAAACTAGTTATGATTACTGGCTACTTTACACCTTCAAAACACAATTTCTCAATAATTGATTTGGTTACGACCTTCCAAATGGTTTAATCTAGCATGTGTCAGCATTTCAATCCAGTATATTTAATAGTAGCAGAGAAAACGGTAAAAACTTGAAGAAAAATTCCATTCACTTGCGCCATCGAAGTTTAAAAAAGTTGCAACTTCAGTCTCCCGTGAATGTAGAATTTGCAATGTTAGCTTTCAAAAACTGAATTGAACGAAAAAACTTTTCACGTTTTTGCAGTTTTCTTTGCAGAAGGAGATTTAAGGCTGAAAATTTGACAAATGATGGAAAAATTTTGCATAAGCGTAGAGCCGAATGAACAACCGTTCACAATGTTTTCAGGGTGTTGTTTGGTTTTTTAGTTGCAGAACGTTAAAGAGATGTTTGTTCTCAGAGCCATATCCCTAGTAAACACCAGAACCCTTCTAAGACTTCGAACTCCAACGCTTTCGTTGGAAAGCTGAAGATCTAAGCTACACCCTCAGTCAAACTTGGGCATAATAATAACGAAAATTGTTGAGTTTTCAGTCAACTTCTTTTTAAGAGCTCAGCAAATTCTTTTTTCAATGAAAAGAAACCTATATGAGTGCCTAAATTAGATCGTTAACTTCCCAACTAACACTTTTGAGTCCAAAGTTTCAAACTGCTTCTGAAGTTTACGTAGATTTTTGGCACTGAGTCCATTTCTTTATCTTCCTCTAATTAAATGGTGCAACGACAACTTGAAAATTTTTTCTACAATTTTTTTCCCGGCTTTAGTCCCATCAGCAGTTTCATCCATCATATACCAGAGGAGAATTGTTAACAATACGGCGTTGGTGAGTAGCGAATGCTTGTACCGCTTCGCTCACATTTGACGATGCATCAGTTTGACCATCGAAGCTCACGCTTACCATACAATAAAAGTGCTTGTTACGAATTGTCGCCTTCAAAAATTAAGACAAACTTCCTTGTAAAAAATTTCGTTTCAAGTTGCTTTGAAGGTTGTTTGCGTTTCAAAGGTTGTCATTTCAACCGCCACTTCGACCAAAATATTTTCGTTTAGATGAAAAGTGAATAGGCAAAAAACTGAATTTGAATCAGTATAAATCATATGTATCATGCAGGTTCCATAATTTCAAAATGATTATTAACTCAGTCAGAAGACAGCAATAATATGCAAGTATATAATATAGCGATTTGTCTAATTTCTAACTTAACATTGCCAAATATACAGTTATTCAATATTTAAAAAACAAATCATCAGTTAATACATGGCTCCGATTTGATAAATATGAAAGCTGAGGTTTATGCTCAGATTAATAAACAAAGTACAACTATAAGGGCATATACTTTCAGACTTGGAATAGAAGAAAAACTTATTCGGTACCATCAGAAAACATGTAAAGGTAATCAACAGTTCCTATCTCAGCAGTCACGTCGTATTGCCAATGTAGGCAGAAAACTTTCAATCATTGCCGCAGTTTTTTTACCAAGGGTACTCAATAGCCAAGGGCAGACAAAAAAAATTTGGCTAGAAATATTACAAACTATTTCAGTGAGCGAAGCACGCAAAAAAAATAAAACTTCGAAATGAACAAAATTATTTTCACGTGGAAAAGTTCTTAGTAATTAAAAATATTGTCTGCCCAACGATCCAGTAACTCACTTCACGCTATTAAATAGGATGCGGCCTATGTCATACCATTTCACTCGTCTCTAGAATTGCGAATTTCTTCTAATTACTCGTCGACTAGTTGAGCGAATCTATCGTCTATTCGCTTCTGTACTCCTCCAAACTCCACCTGTGAACACATGGTACAAAATGACATCTACAGAATATCACAAATGAAAGTTAAGAATTAATCCTAATTAGAGAACTGAAACCTTGAGACATCCGCTCGTGTAGTATGTAAATGAATGGTATTGTGAATAAAACACTTGCCTCCATCTTTTCGCGACTGAGTTCGTTGGGGTCGAGGAACTTCATGGAAGTGACCGAGTGGATCACCCCTCCCGCCTCCCCCATGTTGTCCCGGATGTCATTCCACGTGATCTTACTCTTCTTGTCACCTGCAGAGGCAACAGACACACATTAATGTCAGCTACATCTTCACTCTACCTCCTCACTCATTGCAATTTGATACACGTATAGCCGCTTACTCAGCAAGTAGCACAGAATGTTCCGAAAGACTGTATTTTTTCTGCTTGGTTTGATAAAAAGATCTGACGTATAAAATATAATTTAGGCATATTAGACAGTCATAGTAGTATAGGCAAATTGGACAAAATTTTGTAGAAAAATGATTAGAAAAACAAAAAAAAACTGAACAAAAAAAAGTTTTAAGGTCTTAAATTAGGTATAATTCAGCTTGTAAGCCTGCTCGCTTGCTTTATTCGCTCGAATTAAGACAAAAAATCAAAAATTTTAAACCGGTTTTTCTCGACGCAAATTGGTTCGAATCACGACTGAAAGGGCTTCAATATGATATATCACTCAACCCAGTCCGATGATTATTCGTGATAGCTGATTTTGCGTGGAAAACAAAAAGAAAAAACTAAAACGCACCCGAATACGAAGTTCCTGCCCATTTTCAATGGTCGGAACAAAAACATATAAGATCCCAAAGTATTCAGATAAAACAATCGCACAATTTCTGGTTTCTTGTACCGAAAAAAGTTCATGTGGCTAATTTAAACTTGCAAGACCATATTACTTAACAAATTGTTTTCGAGCAAAACCATCTGATGTGAGCATAATCAGGATATCTTTAGCTTTTCACTCTCGTATGGAACTCAGTAGCAAATAGCCATCTCTATAAATACCTAAATAACAATTGAGCACATGTGAACTTTGAACGTTGTTATCTGTCTCCTCCCTCCCAGTATTTTGTAAATTGAGAGAAGGGTGCGGGGAGTGGGAAAATAGTCAAGCAGATGGCAAGATAGCCATCTAATGATGAACTGACACGATAAAGACAGACTCGGAGATGAGCTTTGCCACACTTGTGATACAACACAAACAAAAAATGTAAGTCTATCAAAAACAAATGAAAACTGTTGAAAAATACTAGGTCTACCAAAATTGGAACTTTCGTATGTCTCGAAAGAAGTTCAGTCTAGGCAAAAAAAGCCAGAAAATTAAATATTAAAATAGCAACGGAACAAAACTAACGGAGAGGAAACAAAGCCGACAATCTTTGAGTAGAACAAGTGGAGCCGAAAAAAAAACTAATTAAAAAAATAACTACAAATTTTCAAGTCCCCTTTGAATTAGATTGAACAACTTGATTTGTAACTTCAATGAAAATTGCTTACAGAACAAGTAAAATCCGTGATTTGGCAGCTAAGCCGACAAAACTTGCGCAGACAAACGGAGGTCTGTTAGGTATATCAATGTTTACCGGCAAAAAAGAAATTGAAATTTTGTTCTGGTGAACATAAATACTAAACAAAAAGGTCCGGCCGGGCCTCAAACCCCAGAGCTTAAGGTATGAATGCAACGGCGTTAGCTCTAAGCCAAGTAAGAAGGAGTCTCGAAGTTGCGAAGGCTCACTAATAAACCAGCTTCACAATTTCTTACAGATTTGTAAGAAAAGTTATTCACGCGAAAAAAAGAAACCTAGGTGTTCGATAGTACTAAGTAAGTATGGCCTTGCCTGAGGGAGTGACTGCATCAGTGGCCCTCTGGTGGAAGTGCAGGATGTTCTTCAACATGCCCACTGTCTTGTGCATGGGACAGAACCTAAACAACATTCACACACAATATAAACCATCTAAGTACCTCTAATCACTAATTCTATTACACATGCAACCACTATTGGTCCTGCCGACCCATTTTTTTCAATGCGTACTATTTTTTATATTTCAATTTAATGTGCACAAAATAAGACATAAGGACGAGGTTTCCTGACGCAGAGAAAAAAGTTCGCAAAGCGACTCTTTGACAGAGGGCACAGTTGGCCAAATCAAAGGGAAAAAAAGTTGCTGACATAATATTTTATTTCACACTGTGTGGTTTTCGGCAATGTTTAACATTTGTTCAACGATGCATCTCGTAAAATAAGTGGCCTCAGAAAAATGAGTTAATATAAACTCCTTTAAATGATAATCACGAAAACAATGAGCGATTTGAGAAGTTTCTGGTCCCTTACAAGGCCAATTTACATGTCGTAATGAAACAAAAAACTTAAATCCTACTCATAGTTCTCTACAACAAACTTGTAACGTAACATTTTCATATACAGAAGCGAGCTTAAAAAACACATTTCAACCCCACCAATTAATTTAAAACACGATGACCTTTTAAAACTTTTGTAACCAGGTGAAACAAACTTTCGAACACTGTATAGTACGCGTGTATTCACTGCTTTCTTACGCTAAGTCGAAAAAACTAAGCAGACAGGCGATAGTTTAAAACTTAACAAAACAACAGGTCCCGGTTGAACTCGAACTCTAAGCCTTTCTCGTCTCAAGCATGGATGTCACCACTGCTCTTATGATTCAATGAATTTGAATTTATTACAAATCAAATTGAAAAACGTATAACCTTTCTAACTAGTAGAAAATTGTATTGATTTCACCAAGAATAATGAAAGAGACTTACTTAGAGAAATTGTTTTAATTAAAATCTACATTAGCTGCTTTCTCAAAATATGAGGGTAATGTGAAGTTTCGTTCAAAATTGTTGTCCACAAACTACCAAAATTAAGGGAAAAAAATTATCAAAAAAATAAGCAATAAAAACCAGGAAAAATTAGAACATCAAGACCGTACATATAATCATTCCCCATAACTGAGAGAAAAAGCAAGAAAGAAAACTTGAAACACCTAAAATAAAAAAATACCACAACTATAGCCGAAATTTTCACAAAACTCAGTAAATCTATGAAAGCAACCAAGTCTGCACATATCTTAAATTTATAAAAAACGAACAAAGCAAAATGACAACCCATCGATAAAACTTTGAGTCCAATTAGTGAACAAAAAAAAGATATCAGAAACAACCACAATTTCTTTTCTCACGATATTACCAAATGCATATTTAAGAGACACACTGATTCCAAGTTTAAAATGCAACCTGATTGATTGACACCGAACTAAATTTCAGAACCCTACTCTTTAACCAAACTATTTCACCCAAATTTTAAAACCCCTACTTTATTACCCCGTAACAAGATAAACCCACTACAACTTGACCCCCTTATAACAGCGTAATTTGTTTCAAATTAAGTCCCTTTTTCAAACAAAAGAGTTTTCCAGTTAAGTACCCTATTTGAGGCAGATAACCTAAATTTATTTCATTTGATGCATAGCCACTCAAACAAAATTGCATTTCAATTAACTATATAAATAATCCGCCATTCACGCGTTTAAAAGAGATAACCTAGATGGTACTAATTAAATCAACATTAGAATTAGACGTTTGAGAGTTTTTATTAAAATCAAACTGTCTTATACACAAATCATCGTTAAACCAGTATAAGACTTGAAGGGCGCTTTTATTTTATGCTCGACGACCCCTTCTACTCCTTCCCCCCGCTAATTTCGGCCCCGCGAATTACGTATTGTAGAGTATCCCTGCTTTTCTAGGCACTTGCTTTTTTTAGTAAACTGTAATCGATTACCCTCAAAAAGTTAATCATTATGGCCTTAGAGGCTCTTTGAATTACTAGAACAATTTATGATTGACACTTTTTTTGAAAAAACTCGCCCAATTTGAGAAAATTGCATCAGTAGTTGAAATATCGATTTCGCGGAGAAATTCGATAATTAAATTCCACTTTCGAAACTTAAAGTCGGTCACGTTTTCGTGACCTTTACACTTTTGCTGTTCGATAATTGAGTTTACCTTCCTTTTAACGAAGGAAATGAACTGAACTTAAAAAGAAGTCAACAGTCAAACCGCAAAACGAAATTTTGAGCCTGAACAAACTTAACAATTTTTCCTGAAAAAAAAAACGAAAAAAAAAAAAAAACAAAAAAAAAAACATCGGGACCTAAAAGAGCCTGAACTACGTTCATGGACTCTTAAAAACTGAGTCACAAGATTAATAACGCTTTCAACTTTATACGGGTCACTTGATCTCTAACGTGACAACAAATTGGACCTGCAGCTTTCATTTCAAATCGCCTGCATCTATGCTGTGGAACAACAAAGACGGCCGCTTCTGAAAAATGATAACTTTAAGTACTTCCTTGGCTTCCTAGCTTTCAATTTATCAATCTAATCTCAAATATTTGCTGACTGAAAAAAAGCACATAAACACAACTTGCACTAAATAAGAAATCGACACATTAGTAAAATCTAAAAGAATGCTAAGCTATTAAAACATACCCAAGTAGGGACAAGTAAAAAATTTTGAAAAATTTCAGCTTTCGATTTTCGAAAAAAAAACAGGTTAAACCTCTTTGAATTTCGGGAAAAAATGACTTTTTTTGATAAATTTGACCTAATTTATTTATAAAATGGATCAGTGAGCAATCATTTAATTCCGCAAGAAATTTCAAAATTAAAATCCACTTTCGAACTAGAAGTCGTTCACGTTTTTTGCGCCATTTTGGAACGTTGGAATTTTCGTAATTAGAGAGCGCAAATTACGTACTTGTAAGCTTAGTTGAATGGAACTGAAAAAGCGCACATACACTTAAGTGCATTCATATATGCACTAATATTTATGAATGCACTTCTGTAAATATTAGAGCATTTGAAGAAAAAATCGTCCAGACTTATATCAGTGGAAATCATCTTATAAGTGAGTTCTTTTACACTTAAATTAGTGAAAACGCTTATTTCTTTCGATCACGCACGCAAGTAACCATGAACCGGGACATGATTTCGCAAAAAATCAATTCCAATTAGGTTTAAAATTTTCACTCCAAATAATATCAGAGCGCTGCTTAATCTTAAACTGTTAAATCAATTCTAAGTTTTAACAAAGTTGTACTTATCTCCAACTAAGCTTTGCGAAGCTCTTAGAATTTAAACAAATTTATGATCGAGTTTATCAAACTAAATGGATCTAAGAAAACTGGATCAATATCTAAATTTTAAATTTTGCTGGGAAATCGAAAAAACTTTATTGCAACTGCGATTCATACACTATTTTTCAGTGCTATTTGCACATTCACAATTGGAAAGTTTTGACAACCTTTTAGCAAATTAATGAGAATTAAAATAAAAGAAACAACGAAAAATTAAATTTGAGCGCGATGAAATGTTGAGACTTTTCGTGAAAAAAAGAAGCAACGCGACTTGAGTAAGAGTGTTCACTTCGTTCATTGACCTTTGAAAATGAGCTGAAGAAGGACGCCTACTCTATCCAATTCCGCCGCATTTGAATCGACCACGTAAGATTGAAAAGAGGCGGACCGAAAAAAAATTCGAACTCGCTGTCATTTTCCCTTCCATTTTGGAACAATGAAAATCAATATTTATTTGTATTTTGCGTTCGCGTGAAGCAGGTGTTGTTGATGGATTATTTGTAGATCTATTTTAACTCAAAATATTACGCCCGAGGAACTTTACGACAGGTCTTGTGAGTGCGTGAACTTTAAAATTTGCACAATGCGAACTTCTATAGAGCAATGACCCTTCCTTCTCTCATATCTTAAGTACTCCGCCCACCTGCAAACAATAATGGGGGAAAAGAGAGGGAAAAGTGTTTGTTGTGATGGAGTCCCTTTTGGAATGAGATCGAAAATTATCAAAATCAACAATTCCGCCTATCATTCAGAGGATGGATTAGAAGCCTAATTAAAATACTTTTTCCAAATATCTTTCACAGAGGAAGTTCTGGTCATTGCTGAATTAGTAACACAGTAGCAGGTTGCGCAACTCAAATATCATGCTGTAAGCTTGTAATTAAAATGTCAAGGACCTATCTTATCTGAAAAAAAAAACAAATTATGAGAATTTACAAGTGATCGAAAATCGATTAAATATTATTTCTCAGGTGAACTTTATGATTATAACTTTATCTATAAACAACGTGTATGTTCCATTATCTCTCATTGATCGGCAATTAATTGAACTTAAAATACAAGTAACTTATCATTTGTTCCATTTTATTCCCAAAATGAAAACTTTTGTTCGCATTTTTCCGTAAATGTTATCACCTTTATGAGCAAAAAAAACAAAAACAGATAGAAGTAGCCCAGTCGTCTTTTTCAATTCCCATCCAGGCACCTAGATCCTAAGTTGTATGTTTAACACTCCTGCACTCTTTTTAGGCTAGACTGGAGAAAGCGAAGCGGAAAACATGTGAGGGACGCGTCTGTCTGTTTCCTATCACAATAAATTAACATTTTAGGACAACGATCGATAAGCAATAAAAAAAAATGCCTAATAGCATGCTCATAAATCAATATTTAGAAGTAGTCTAGCTCTCTCTCGTACTGTACACAATACACAAAGAGAAACTATTAACCTTGAGATCATTTCAACAATTTGCATGCGAGAAGAGAACGAACGTATGCTCACTCACAATAGTGCAGGGCAGGTGTATATAGTGCAAACTAATATTGCTTCCATTACAATGAAACACTTTGATTTTTTTTCAGAAAGGCAACCAGACGAACATTTGAGTAGGAGACCTTTCAGAGCTAACAACTGGCTCCAAGCCACGTCACTTTTCCATCACACGTGCCAAAAAGATGTTATAATCTATACATATTTTTAACTTGATTCATAAGGTTAGAATCTGATTAGTTGTAATTAATTGCTCCAAAAAGAGATAAAAACATAATGGCTTGTTTTACAGTTTGGTGATTTTAGGCCCTAAAACGGTGAGTATTGTGCGTGCGTGCGTGTGTGTGTGTGTGCGTGCGTGTGTGTGTGTGTGTGTGTGTGTGCGTGTGTGTGTGGGTGTATCTATTGGAGTGAGTAGTGTAGTGTTGTGAGATGGTGGAGCACTGACTTGTCGTAGGGACTGAATCCGTTCTGCTGCAGGAAGTCGTCCTTGAGGATCTTGGCAGTCTCCAGGATGACCTTGTCCTTCTCGGCCAGAGTGTTCTTGCCCACCAGCTGCACAATCTCACTCAACTCCTGCTCCTCCTGCAGAATCTCCCTCGCCTTCGACCTCAGCGCAGGGAACTCGGGGTAGTTCTTGTCGAAGAAGTCGTCCAGAGCCTAACACACAACACACAATAAACAACTACTCTATGTCCATTCAATGCAACTGCTGTTTCATTTCACATCAAACCTCAAAAACCGTTTCTTTTTAAAACAAAAAATGAGCTTCAATCCTGTTGCATAATTATGAAGCTAACAAAACAAGAGATTACCACCAATCGAGGCAATAATATAGACAAAATATAACACCTTTGGGCAAGTAAAAAGATTTTAATGCTAATAGCTCTCTGTTTTTCTACTCTTTATGGCATCCAGGGTTCTCCCAAATTAGAGGCTCAAATTTTTCTTGATTAAATTTACAATTTTTGCGCCTCATTTTCTCATAAACGAGTTACTCGTAAAAAAATGTGTCCTTGTAAAAAAAAGGTGAAGATACTTCACATTACAACATATATGTGTGCTAAATATACATTTTGGATCACAACCGGGCTAAATAGCATAAACAGAATTCGAACTGACAGCAAGAAAAAAGCTATTCTTGAAAATATCAAAAAACGAAAAATATAGGTTTCGACCGAAGTGAAAATCACGAAAACTTAGCACACTAGTAGGGCCATCAAACATCATGTAAGTTGTCCATGTCAGCTTATCAAGCGTCTACTCTGTTAAAATTTTGTTAAAACATTCGATTGTTAAAACATTTGAATATTGAGGAAACAAAAGTGACCTTGATGTATTTGGAGTAGGAGATGTTCCAGTTGACGGAGGGAAAGTGCTTCCTCTGGGCTAGTCGCTTGTCCAGACCCCAGAAAACCTGCACGATGCCCAGAGTGGCCGTGGTCACGGGGTCCGTGAAGTCACCTCCCGGAGGAGACACACTAACAAACAGCACAAACACATTCATCACAACAACATATAACAAAAACTCACGATCCATTTTTCAGAACATTTTTCAACTTTGGAGTTTCAAACCAAAAAGTTTTGAGTTTCATATATGCCTTTAATTCTGTTGATTTTCCAGAATATTTTATGATTGACACTTTCTGATAAAACTTATCCTATTTAACAAAACTAGAAACATATTCAAAATATCCCTTAATCAAGATATACTCAAAAAACAGCCATAGAAAACCTAATTTGAAAAACGGAGAGCCCATGCTTATTTCTCATTTCGCATTGTTCGAACAACAAAATTGCAGTGATTTCAATTATCCGGACAATAAACAACCTCGGAAAATTCAAACGCTTTTTTCTCAAATTTGGTCAAGATTAATTAGGCAAAAAGTGAAGAAAACAAAAGCTGCTTAGAATTTCACCAGAATCAATTTTTGAATTTCTCAACCAGAAATTTACCCCAAAAATGGGTCATTTTGGCTTTTTTTCAATAAATCAAGAATTACGCTGAAACTACCGAGTTAATTGATTAGAAAATTATATCTAAAGAAGTCTCTCAGATAGCCCAACAAAGTTTTATAAGGTAAAACTTCCACACTTTTGCGCGAAATGTTTGAAATTTGTTTTAAGCAAAGATTTTGATTTTATAGTAAAAGTGACCGTTTTAGTCTACCAACCAGAAATTTATTCTCTTATACAAATTTCGAAAAAATGCTCCATTTCTGGATATATTCTACACAACCTCTTCTCTTCAGTTTTTCTCTAATCTTGAATCAATTTGAGAAAAATGCGTTTGAATTTTCCTATGTTGTTCGTTGTGTCCGGTTAAATTAAATCAGCAGTATATACCAACAATTATGCAAAATGACAACTCGAAATGTTCTGGAAAATGTATGTCTAAAAAGTCACGACTTGGCAGCATCAAAATGTCAGAATCTCTCACTTCATATTATATTGGTAAATCAACATAATACAAAATATCTCGCAACAAAAACAGTCTACAGGCAGTTGGAAGTCTGCCACGTCAATAAACTCAGGGAAACCAAAAAACGACTGAATAACTTGAAAACTTGATAAAATATATAGGCCCAAGCGCGCTTTGATCCGACCACGCTCGTGGTGTGATTTTTTTCTTCCCGATTTTGGCTGCCTCAAAAAGCTCGTAGGGGACAAGTATGGTAATTCATATGAACATTATTGATCGTAATTCAGATTCTAATCAAATGTCTCGTTGTTGAGGAAAACTGGTGAATGAATTTTCGTTTACAGACTACATTAGACGAAACTTGAATAGAGGCTTACAGCCCACAATTTATTTCCTCTACAAGTTATTTTAGCTATAATTACGTTTGCACTTTTGCTGCCCGATAAAGGAGTTAGCTTATTTAATGAAGGAAACGAATTGATCGTAAAAAAGTCAACAATCAAACCACTAAAAATCAAATTTGAGCGTGAACAAAGATTAGGACTTTCCCCCAAAAAAATCAACAAAACCTACAGAAAAAAATCATTTAGTTCTTTTACACTTACGAAAACAAATGAAAGAAAATTTGGAATTTTTTCGATGTTTTTTTAAAAGTATTTTTGATTTTTGCATTAACATCATTGTTGTCGGAAATCTCAGAGTTACTTGCACAGCAATGGGCTCTATTTTTGTAAACATTAACCTAACTTGAAAAATTCGATCAATAGGTAAAGTGTTTATTCCGCTGGAAAGCTTAAAATTAAATTCCAATTTCGAAACTAGAAATTGTTCACGTTTTTTCGCGCCAATTCCATGTTCGTATTTGCAGAGTGCTATTTACATAACTTTCAGCAGACGAGTTTCAATTGAACTCAAAAAGTGCATATATACCTAAGTGCATTCATAAAAGCATTAATATGTATGAATGCACATCTGTAGTTATTAGACTCTTTAAGACTTTTTCCTGAAAAAAAAAACGAAAAAAAATCACCAAGACCTATATAAGAGTCTTCACTAATGTTAATTACTCTTTAAAAATGGAAAATTCTGAAATTAAAAAAATTTTTCCGCTTTCTTCAGAAACACGCAAAGGATAAACATCGATTTTCTTTTCAAACGAGATTTGTCCAGGAAGCCCAAAAAATTAAGCCAAACCAAATAAGGCCAAAAAGCTATAAGGCTAAAGAAAAGGAAATTACTAAATACATTTAGTAAATTTAGTTTCAGCAAAAAATCGAGAATACTTGCAGTTACAATACAATTGGTAGCAGAACAAAAAAAATCCTTTGATATGAAAACAAAGACGGCGAAACAAGCAGTCAAACAATAGGCTGACAATGGATTCCTTTTGAAAAAAAAGGTCCAGACCAGATTCGGTCCCAGGGCCTTTTCTAGGCCAGAGCCGAAGAAACTTAAAAAATGGAGTTTTTTATTAGTCACCCTATGAAAAGGTTCAAATGATTTTGTGCTAACATCGCCCCCCAGACAAAATATACAACTACATATACATGCATAAATTTGTTGTTATCGATTTCGGATTGTCGAAATTCTCTAAGCTGAAGCTCTCTCAAGAGTATTCTACAGTTAGTACTATTCACATAAGCCTTATTCTCATTGCCGAATTAGATAAAACGATCAATATGTTAATTTTCATTCCACTGGGAAAACTAAATCCACTTTCGAACCAAATAACTATTCAAGTTTTTTTTTACAATTTCAAGTTTTTCCGCTTTCCTAATTGGGGAGCTTAGGTTTTCTTCCAAAAAAAAACTAATAACAGAGTCAATAGAAAGTTCGAAAAGAGTCATGAACGCAAACAAACAATTAAAAAATACTGACTTGTTTTGGAAGAAAAAAATAGTTCCAAATTTCAACGAAAAATCAGATGGCCTTAAAGATCTTTGAATTTCAAGAACAATTCATGATTGACATTTTTTTAATAAAAGAAACTCAATTTCTGTAAATTGGATCAATAGACAATTCTTTATTCCGCTGGGAAATCTTAAATTAAAATCCATTTTCGAGGCTAAAGTCAGTCACGTTTTAGTGACCTTTACGATAGTGAAGCTTGCTTATACTCAATAAAAGAAATGAAGTATACATGAAAAGGGATCTAAAATCATAAAAATCATAAAATATAAGTTGAAACCATTTTGATAAAGAAAGAATTGATTCAAAATCGACTGTCAGCTTTATTAAGAAAAAATCCATGCTTTAGAAAAAAGCCGACAGAAAATGAGCATATTAACGAAAGACCGACAATTAAATTCTTCCAAGAAAAATTCCATTTACAACATACTGAAAAAACAAGGTTCTGCCGGGACTCGAATCACAAACCTTGAGTGCAAAATAACCTTAGTACCTCTATACCAAATAGGGAAAATCAAGAATATGCAGATATGTAACAAAACTTGTTTACAAGCAAAAGTATCGTTCCTGATTACCACGCTCTTGCTTTCGCCAGTGTAAAAAATGCCGAAAAAATTCTGTCGAGAAAAACCGATTTTAATTTTTTGCTTTTTAGAGCAACGTAGCGGAAAGTTTGTTAAGCAACCGCGTGTCTTCAAGCCAATTTATTTATATTTATGCGTTAAAAGAAAAATGTGCATCGACTCGCAGCTTTTTCCTACCACTCACAAACTGACACATTTACATTTTTAAGATCATACTCAAAATTAATTGAACTAAATGCAAAATACTGATACATTACTGAACATTCAAACGAAGAAACCTTTTATGGTAGATAATTTGAATTGCGAACCCAAACGATTTTTTCATATATTAACATTTTGGAGGCTGCATCTATTTAAAAAAAAGCTTCCCATCTGTATTTTGTTACTTCAGATAATTGCGTGAATCGATTGATTGGTTTTTATCTATAGACTACAAAGACAGACAAGTGTCAATGAACGCTAGGAAACAGAATAAAAACTGGCACATACAAAAAAGCCCAGAAACACAACTACCAGCAATAAATTTTTTAGAAAAGATCGAGCGACCACTAAGACGACAATACGTGGATACAAGCTTATTGAGCCAAAAATGCCATGAAAAATTGTTGCTGCGAATTTTTTTGAATGATTAAGCTTTGAATGTTTTTTTTTCTTCAAATTACTGGAGTAAACCAAGATAAAATACGTATAGCACCAGAAAAAAACGTGATATGACAAATAAGCCGATAGAATATATGCAGACAAGCGTTTGACCAAAAAAGAACAATTTTTCCCGAAAAAATTCTATTTCATACTTACTGAAACATAGCCAACTGACCGAAAGAAAAGAGAAATGAACGCAAGGAAACTGAAAAAAAAACTTGTTCTTTCACAAATCTTCAACTTTTCAATTTCGAAGAAAAAAATAGATGGCCTTAAAGATCTTTGAATTAAAAAAAACATGATGGACAATTTTTTGTCAACATTAACCCATTTTGAGAAAACTGGATCAATAGGTAAAATTTTTATTTCGCAGGGAAATCTGATAATTAATTTCCATTTTCGAAATTAGAAGTCAATTACGTTTTTCGTGACCTTTACAATTTTGCTGTTCGATAGTGGAGTTTGCCTTCCTTTTAACAATGAAAATGCACTGAACTTAAAAAAAATCCCAAGTCAAACCGCGAAAAATCAAAATTGAGCGTGAACAAATTATAAGACTTCTCCTGAAAAAAAAATCAGCAAGACCTATATAAGAGTACTCACTACGTTCATTACTCTTGAAAAAACAAGTACAGGCAGTGACTCGAATCCCAAACCGTAGCGTTCAAAGGCAACCACGTCTACGCAAGGCTACGTGGGAAGGAGCAGTAGCAAAATGAGGTGGGGGGAGCGGGGCGGAGGCCTCCCTCAGGGATTCGACCGCTGCCGACCCAAAGGGCCCCCCTTTGTACTATTTGATATACCCATTTTTGGCTGACTGACCATACAATTTTTTCTAAAGGCGCGAATCTACACTTATTTTGAGGGGAGAGCGCGCGCCGAAAAAACGCGATTTTTTGGTCGAGTTTTTCCAAAAAGTGCACAAAAATACCTTTTGGCCAGTTTTTTCACAAGTTTACCAGCGGCGCAGAAAATGTCAAATTAGGGTCTTTATAGTGATTTGGGAGAACTCAGAAAATCAATTCAGTCTACCTAAAAAAAAAGGTCGACAAAAATTTCATTTTTTTTTGAAAATCAGCCCCCCCCCCTCGAGAAATTCCTAGATCCGCGCCCTGGAACGAGACTGAAAGTTCTTAAGGTTCAATTATAAGGCAAATTTAATTTATTACAGATTTATAAGAAAATTTGTTTACGGGAAAAAGTCCAGTTCTCAATTACCTAATCAATGTGTTGAATTGAAGTGATTGGACTTTCGTGTCTTGGACAAAATAGACTGGAAAGTTTGAAACTCTCTAAGCATTTGTGTCCAATATAAAAATGTCAATTCTAATTTAACCGATTTTAATCAAATTTAAGTTTTTTTATAAGTTTTGGGCCAAATATGTCCGGACACTGAACTATCATTTAGAAGATAATCTACTTCTCTTTTGTATAGGAACAGAACGCAAAAAAATCATCAGCCTTCTTTTCAGTCGTATCTCAGTGATTCTATTTTTACAGTGGATACATTTGATTTCAGCATTTTTATGAACTTAACAAAAAACTATATTTAAGTCTCATTGACCTACAAAAAAGTCTATTACAAAAAGAACAAAGCAATGATTGAATGTAAGAAAATACGAGAATATCAACCGTCATATGTTTTATGATTACTGAAAATACTTAGAAAGTAGATGCGCCATTTCTGAAATCAGCGCTAATTCACCAGAAGGGCTTTGGAACACAGATTGGACAATGGGTCTATTTATATGCATCCGTACAAACGCCATTAATTTTTGTTTCCTTTGATCTTCTTCATCTTTGCATAACATTATATTACAAACTCTATCCATTTGTTCTAATTCTATTATTTAAGCTTCATTTGATCTTCCAGATCTTTGTATGCCATTCTTTGACTTGAGCATAATATTAACAAAAATATCTATTCTTTTCTTTTTTTATTCTATGGTAGAAATTACCCTGCCTCCATCAGAGTGTGGACATGAAAAATCAAATTAACATGCTGAAAAATAATATTAAGTAAGCAGACGAATAGCGGAGCTTCGCATTACTTGCCATACAACATAACCAGAGTAGGACAAACTGAAAATGAAAATTCAACGACCTATATAAGAGTCTGAACTCACTTCATGACTTCTTATTAAAAAACAACATTGTCAGACAAGCAGCTGAGAATCAATCAACAGCAAAACGAAAGCTTTAAGTATCATGTAACAAGCGGCAACTAATCCAAAAATACTTGGTTAGAGGCCATTGAGTCGAAAACAGGTTTAAGAAAAGGTATAAGAAATTGTTGTCATTATTAAAAAATCACAGAGACGAAGCTGCGCTTCGCAAACACTAGCGAGAAAACGACAAGAAAACATCTCATTGAGGTGAAATAGAAATTATCCTCATAGAAAAATTTAAAGCTTCGCTACGTGTTGTATTCGAAACAGCAACCTCGAAATTTGGAGTGTCACATCCTTCCCTCTCAACCACGCACGCTTAAGGATCGACAAACACTAGCCAAATAAAGCAGAAAACTGATGTTGTGAAGTTTCCAATGCTAGAGATCGTAAGTAAAACATGAGTACCACCAAATGAGCACTTCTATTTGCAAATTGGAAAAAAGTAGAGTCATACTAACATACTGCGCTTGCTAGTTTAAAAAAAAGAACAAACTTGATATGAAAAAATGCAGTCCAAAAAATGGTGTTCATTTGAACGTTTATACTTGTAACGGAAACTTATAGTGTGTATAAACATCACAAATCTACACAGAAGCGATGCTTTAAATACTTGCAATACAACGCAAGCGTAGACGGATCTAACAAAACCGAACAAAAAAACTCTTGCAAAATGGAAATATTTCAGAAAACAGAAAAACAAAACCACCAGTGCGAAATAGGCTATTTCTATTTATCGAGCGGCCACTTAACCAACAACAAATGGCAGACGTCCATTGGACCGAAAACAAAAATGCCAAAGAAATTGTTGTCAAAAAAAATTTTGAATAATAAAGTTTTAAAACTTTGAAAATTTCCAACAATTTTCGTTTTTGAAGCGACACAAAATAAGGCAGATAAGCCAAAATATTCCGAAACCATTTATACCAAAAAAATCTTTCAAGCGAAAAAACATTAACAGAAAACCAAGAAAATATACAACGTCAGGGCTATAAATTTAACGAATAACAGGTGAAAATCATAAACACTTGCATTTACTATGAAAATGCTGACACCTCAAAATAATTATCTGATGTAGCAACTAAGCCGACTATCAGTTTAATACATACGAGAAAAAAACAAGATCCGGCCAAGACTCGTTCCCTAGATTTTAGGGTACATACGAAAGCGCGTTCCTTCAAGACCAAGTAGGAAGGAATTGCTCGAAGTTGCTAGGGTTCACTAATAAAGCTACTTCACAACTTCTTACAAATGTAAAAAATATATATTTGTTTAAGGAAAAAAAGTCTACTTCCCGATTACAAGAGACTTGCTTTCGCAAGTTTAATGACACAATATTTACGCAATTAAATATATTCAAAAAAAACTTAATTTTATATATAGAAAAACTATATATAGAAAAACGAGCACTGTGAAAAAAAAACCAGGCGGCAAGTAATCTGACATGGACTGTGACAAAAACATGTCAACAAAGAAATTGAATATGATTTTGAAAACTTTTTGGCTACTTTAGCCCTCTTCAAAAAACTATCATATTAAGAAGGAATCAAATAAAGGGCTTAAAAGAATAATAAAACTAGATTTGAAGATGACCACCAATTTCAGCCACCCTTTGAACAAAGTTGTTCACGGGAAAAATCAAGTACCCGGTCGCAATATCCTTATTTATCACAAGGGTAAAATTGTTCTTTTTATTTTAGAAAACAAAGGACTGCCCTGCGTAACTGTTATGAAAACAAACGTTATGAGCCGAGTCCAGCGAATTGTCTGGAACGAACATTTCCTGACTATTCATTTCGATGCAGTGGTGCCATTATTTTCATAACTTGAAAACATGTGAAAACTCTTTTAAAATTACTAATTAGACTGTCAGAACAACAAAGTGTCATAATTCACAACAATTTAAAGTATTCGAAGAGAAAAAAAACAACACAACAAATCTAAGACAATCCAAAGCACTTCTGCGATTTAGAAAAAATCGCCTTCTTCTTGATTATGATGCGCGCCCAATTTTTGAAAAATTATTCCTTAAAACTCTACACTCAGCTTCGAATTAATTACTAAGTTTTTCACAGCGTCGAAGCAGAGTATCACAACACATAAATAAAAGAAATAACAAGTCGAAAAAAAACGAAAGATGAAAAAAAAATTAGTTATTGTATATCTTACTAGAACTTCACTATAATTAGCATATTAAATTAGCAACGGAACGAAAACTTACGAAGAGAAAAGCGCTTATGAAAAAATCTTTAAGCCCCATCTTTACGTCCATCTGAAACTAAAATGAACTACAATGAAAGTTGCTCAGATCACAAGGAATTTCAGTGATCAGACAACTAAGCCGTCAATCTTTGAGCAAACACCAGTACAGCCAAAAAATAGATTTTAAAGAAAAAAGATTAAACTTTCAAGCCCTCTAAGGCCACTTGAGCTGTAAAATACAAGAAAAACAGAAGTAAATATGGAAAGATACGCTTGTAAATTTGTTTGTTGGCAATCGAATCACAAACTACGGCATTCGACCCACTGAACAGCAGACTAACTATTATGAGTCCCTCGCCTACGCAGCTGCGCTATGAGACCTTATTATCATAGATAATTACCACATCCTCTAATTGTAAAAACAAGGCAGCAGTGGTAGCGCATTAATGAAGCGGATAAAACATGCTAATAATTATTGATATACGAAAATACATAAAACATTTTTCATGAAATTTTCCTTTTCACATGGGATGCAAATTGTTTCGACATATTTGATATACAACATGGATTAAACACAGAGGCGAAGCTGCTCTTCGTAAGCAGATATATTGAGTTAAAAAATTTCTGAAACGAGTTTTCATTATTGTTATGTTGTTTGAAACAAATCACTTTTTCGGTTCATTTGATGAATTGAAAACGCATCAACTGTGTTAACTTATTACTCTTCGAATGTCAAAGCACATGCTATGAAAAAGCTGTAAAGGTGCCCCAAAAGTGGCACCAAAATTCGCGACTTCGGTTGGGGAAAAAAAGAAGCTTCGCACTAAAACACTTGCTTCGCAAGCATAATTAACAAATTCCCTGCTAATGAATAAATTTTACTACTTACGCTCCGACAATAGTGACGCTGCCCTTTCGAGTTGGCGATCCAATGCAGTTCACTTTGCCCGCTCTTTCGTAAAAGGACGCAAGCCTGGCTCCCAGGTACGCGGGGTAGCCCGAATCTGCCGGCATCTCGGCCAGACGACCCGAGATCTCTCGGAGTGCCTCGGCCCATCTAGAAGTGGAGTCAGCCATCATGCTGACGTTTAGACCCATGTCTCGGAAGTATTCGGCGATTGTGATTCCGGCGTAGATGGAGGCCTCTCTGGCTGCCACTGGCATGTTGGAGGTGTTTGCCACCACTATCGTCCTCCTCATGATGCTCTCTGTTTTTCCGTCATTCGTCGTCATTGTCAGCTTAAAACAAACATCAGTTCAACAATCTACGCCACTATGATATTATTTTATATCATCCATTTTTGGCCGACTAAACCTTATTTTTTTCAAGAGGCACCTTTGGCACCAATGCATACTTATTTGGAAGCGGACCGCACGCGCCGAATAAACGAAATTTTTTAATCAAAATTTTCGAAAGTGGCCAAAACGGCATTTTTGACCTTTTTTTCAAAAATTTACTTGCGGCTCAGCAAATATTGTCAAAACAGTGCCTTTATAGTGTCAAAACAGTGCCTTTATAGTGTCAAAACAGTTTATAGTGTTCTGAGAGCGCTCAGAAAATCACTTTGGTCAACCTAAAAAAGTCAATTAAATTTTCATTTTTTTTTGAAAATCTGCCCCCCCATCCCTCGAGAAAATACTAGATCCGCGTCTGACAGAGGATGAAACTTTCAGGGTCTTAATTGGCATTTTTAACCAGGAAAGACTCTTTTTGTACGAATAATTCCAGCCAAAAGAGTCAAAATTTTTGATGCCATAATTTTAACTAAAGCTAACCGTTGGGAAATCTTTGAGCACTTCCGCCATTTCGTTTCCTCTCTCTCCACACCCGACATACACGATGACGTCACTATTCGAGTACTTGGAGAGTGCCTGGGAAATCACAGTCTTGCCACACCCGAAAGCCCCTGGAATGGCTGTTGTTCCTCCTTGCACACAAGGAAACAGGGCGTCCAGCACCCTTTGTCCAGTTAGCAGCGGGTGATCGGCAGACAGCTTCTCCACATAGGGTCTAATTTGCCTCACAGGCCAAATTTGGTGCATATTGTAGTTTGATTTCACGCCACAGAACTCGGCCTGCAGGACTACATCCTCCAGAGAGTATTGACCAGGAGGCGCAATGTAAGTAATGGTTCCTGCTGCATTCGGAGGCATCATGATTCTATTTTGCACTAGCGAACTCTCCGGCACAACTCCGAACACATCTCCGCCGCTAATATGACTTCCCACCTTCAACAAAACAAAACTTTCACTTTGTTCTCTCGAATTATTACTTGAACATACTAAAAAGTTACAGGGTGACCACAAGAAGAGCACTTCGCACAATCCATCGCCAAGAATATCAAATAGGAAGCAACATAATTCCATTGCAACCTCAGAGAATTTAGAATCAGAGAACCGCATTAGTTTTGCAATTGAATTTGAATGTTTAGCTGTCAATCGAAATTGTAAATGAAATTTTTCAAAAAAAAAAAAAATTAATTTTCATATCTTCAAACTCAATATTTCTTCGTTGTCTAGAATCTCTTAAGTTTTTCAGCCAAAAAGCTATTGGAAGAAAAAATGAAGCCAAAAAAAAGAGCGGAAGACTTGTTTCCTCGAAAGAATCCGATGCTCGAGAAACTTTCTTTTTGTTGTAGGGAGGTTTTAACGCCTTAACATGTAACAAAAATTACAAACAGATCATTTGGTGGCTTTGATGAAACATAGGAAAAAAGGAAAAAAGCAAGTAAACGGAAACAGAATCGACAAAAACATGCTTTAATTAATTAGTTGCAGAAAACAATCTATGTGAAACAAAGCCAATTACAAAATGAGGCAAAAAAAACACATATCCAAGTCAGTCGCCCTATTTCAGACGCGCATTGTACTATACTATAATTTAACACAGAGGCGGAGCTGCACTTCGCAAACACAGGCAAAAAAAAAGAAAGAGGGGAGGAACTCAAAACCTAATCTAAAAAAACGTGGAGAAAAAAAATGCCGAAAAAATTCGAACCTCTGCACTCAAAACCCCGAGAAATTGAGTCCAGTGCTTTTACTAGCTGCGCTATCTCGCTAAATCTATTTCAATAGCTAGCCATCTAGCGAGCCCAGCTTAAGCTGGATGTAATTGTCTGATATTTTTTCTATAGATACTGATGTGAAAGGTAATGCGTAAATTTGAAACACAGAGGAGAAGTAGAGCTTAGCGTCACTAGCAATACAAAAAGGAATAATTATAATCACGGACAAACAAAATGAACAATTAAAAATTTGCAAAACACTCGAAAATCAATTTTTTGTTAAAAAAAATTATTAAATTGCTTAATCCGAAAAAAAACTGCTCTTCACGCACCATTAGAATTTTTACAAAGCGGATTCGGAATGATAGAAAAAGGCCAACTTCCAAAACTAAGCCGACAAAAAAGCATACTGGCGATAGTCTAAAATTTTGTTAAAAAAAGGTCCCGACTGGAATCGAGAAAACAAAAAATTAGGTTAGTAAGCCGACAAAAGTAAAGCCGCTACCCAATTCGCCGAAAATCGAATGAAAATTTACGGCTAAAACAGAAAACATAGCCAATCAAATATTGGAAAAGAGTAATGAACGCAAGCGAACATTAAAAAAAAACACTGACTTTCTTTAAGAAAATCTTTCGAATTTCAGAAAAAAAATAGATGCCCCTTAAGCTCTTTGAATTTACAGAACAATTTATGATTGGCGCTTTTTTGATAACATGAACCCGATTGTAGAAAACTGGATCAACAGGTAAAGTTTTTAATCCGCTGGAAATCTAAAAATTAAATTCCACTTTCGAAACTAGAAATCGTTCACGTTTTTTGTGCCATTTCCACGTTCGTATTTGCAGAGTGCTATTTACATAACTGTCAGCAGAGGAGTTTCAATTCAACTCAAAAAGTGCATAGGTACCTAAGTGCAATCATAAATGCATTAATATGTATGAATGCACATCTGTAGTTATTAGAGCATTTTAAGACTTTTTTATGAAAAAAGAACAAGAAAAAATCACCAAGACCTATAAAAGAGTCTTCACTACGTTCATTACTCTTAATTAATGGAAAACAAGGATAGCCGGTTTATACGCAAGAATCACAGAATAAATTTTTAAGGAATTTGGTTGGAACAAACAATTTTGCCATCTTTTTCTTTCAAATTAGTGTTGTTTTTTATGTGGTGTGATGAAAGGATCTGACAAAAACCTAAAATTTAGGCATTTTGGACAGTCGGAGTAAAGTAGGCACATCGGGTTACAATTTTCAGATCAGCTGGTCTCGTCATTCATCCTTTCGAAGTTAGATATGTGTCATATAAAAAAATTCATCAACTATTTAGTCTTCTTTCGCATAAGGAGTTTTCCAGAAGGAACTTTAGCCATAACAAAAAAAGAACCCTAAGATACTGAACTGAAATCGAAACTGACGATAAACAGAACCTTCATAATCAGATAATCTGATTTTTTATGAAGCACTGAATTTGGCCAGATAGCGATTTGACCAGATGAAACTTGACTGAATTTGACCAGATGAAATTTCTTGAAAAATCAGGTATTCAAAAAATGGTATTGATAACAATTCTGGCAAAAATTTTTCACTCTAAGTTTTCAATTGATGAGTTATTTGTTTTAATTCAAATGAGATCGAAAAACGTATTCGCGGACAAAAAACAGAAACGAATGAAAAAGAAATATATCGACAGAAAAATATTGAAAATGTATTCAAAGAAATTATCGGAAAAGATTAAGAAACAATCTATGCTATATTTAAAGGCGGGTGACTCGTATCTTGCCATGTTTAAGCGTTTTTTTTGCAACAGTTAAGGGTTTAACGTATCTATGCGTGGTTAAGCTATATCGTATATAGCAATACTTAATAATTTTTTCTTTTCGATTTTCCAGTTTGAATCTAGTGTTTCTTCCACTGAGTTAAAAGTTTTCAACACAATAGTGGGATTCTGTCAAAGTTCCTCAGGGTTGCGAATTTAGTCTCCAATTATGAATGCCCAAATCCTTTTACTGTACGAGATTTGTTCAGAAAACTCAATCTACAAAACTTGAAATTCCCAACCCTGTAGTTGGGTGCTGTAAGAGTACTCTCAAGGATTGATAATCTTGCCTCCAAATATGACTGCTCAACTTCTTGTAGTTTTCGAGAAATGACGTGTTTTATGATTTCTTTTTAATTTTTCAGAAACTTCAATTTACACAAAAAATTTATAAAACTTGAAATTCCCAACACTATAGTAAGGTGCAGTCACTCTGAAGGATTGCGAAACTTTACGCTAAATATTAATGCTCAAGTTCTTGTAGTTTTCGAGTTATGATAGATTCCATGGATAGATCCCCCGAGAGAAATATTTTTGAAAATTGGTCAGAATAAAAAAACTACCCCGAGCATATATATTCCTTACTTTCTTCGAAAGCTGGAGCAATTACATAATTAGAAAAACAGTCTGGTGTCTGATTGTAAAACAATTTCCGTCGCAAGTTCCACACTTTAAATGTCGATTTCGATTCATAAAAAATAGCCATAGTACTTATGCTGCATGGTATCACTCACTCTTTAAACTTAAAAAATCTCTTCACTAAACCGAAACTATCGAAACTGAACTAGAGTTATTAACAATGTTCATTTTGTCTTCAAAAAAAACGGTGGGTATTCAAAAGTACCAAAATGATAAATCAGCCCTATTTGTACCATAATAGTAAATAAAAACTTAATCGCGTTATTACCAAAAATATTCAATTAGCCAAAGACTACTAAGCCGACTACTTTAAGCTCTTGGTTTAGGATCGCCGGTGGGCGCGCGTCGCCACGATAACCGGTTCTAGTTTTCGTATAATAATAATAATTATAATAATAATAACAAAGGATTTAGGAATAAAATCCAAGGGTTCGCATAAAACTCAGTCATTGCAGTGTTCAAAGTTTAGTTTTCAGTTATAAGTGTAAATTTCTTCAGGTCTCTACAGTTATTGCATTCGCATGTATAGGGAGTCCTACCCTCTTTTGACAGGCTCGCAACACGTTGGTGCGACTGCGGCGGTCACTATTCTGCTGTTTAGTTTTTTTCTGTTTGAATAGTAGAAAGTTTTCTTCTGTTGGAACAGTAGAAAATTAATGTAATAATTCGTTGGCTCACAGTTCGACCAATCAGAAATCGCAAGAATAATTTTGGTACAAACGGGACCGATTTTTCATTTTGGTACAAATGGACCTTGGTACAAATGGGACTTCACCAAAAAAACCATGTGTTCATCCAGTATGATAAACAAATTCAAATAGGATCCATGAAAATGGAAAAAATATTGACATTCTCGTAAATAAGATCCAGGTAAAGTTTATGTACCGTAAAATCTGTAGGGTTGAACTCCCAGAGAGCTTTTCTGTCCAATGACGTGATATTGATACCTCTAGGAATATAAATGTCTTCAGTCATCTTAGCGATAACCTCAAGGGGCCTCTGGATTCCATCGAAGATTGACCCCAAAATGCCTGGACCCAATTCGACTGAGAGAGGCTTTCCTGTCCTTTGCACAGGGTCGCCAACTGTTAAGCCTGATGTTTCTTCGTATACTTGTATAGTAGCAGTGTCTGCTTCTAGACGGATGATTTCCCCAACTAGTTTCATGTGCCCAACTCGAACCAATTCGTACATAGCAGCTCCACTTATCTCCTGGGCGATAACGACAGGCCCCGAAATGGAGAAGATCGAGCCATACTCGCTCTCTGCAAGAGTGCCGTCTCCCTGAACCATTTTATTACTTTCAATCTGAAATATTTGTATGTTTATACATGAGAGGCTATTTGTTTAACTTGACACAATTTCAAGTTTGGTTGATGCGTTCCACTAGATGATTTATTTGACATCATCAAACCCACTCAATCGTACAAACACAATCGTGTTTCATTCAAAGAGAACTGGTCGCTCCCAAATGATACATTTCAATTATAGATTAAACAAACTATATGCATGCATTTACGCAGTGGTTAAACGATATACCGATAGCCTTCGTTCAACCAACCATTTAAGCTGGTGGTACGTCAATGGAAAATAAACTTAAGCAATGATAGGAAAATACAAGAACAATTTCCAAGTAATCGTTGAGTATGAGCTTCTGAGACAAAGTGTCAAAAAGCTGTCCTTTCGATCCCACTAATGAGTTGTTTTTCTTCTCATAAGCTATCACGGTGATCTCAGCCAATTTCAAGTAGAAGAAGAAATAATACTTCAATTACCGTAACCGCCTCCTTTCCCTAAGAATACTACCTCTCAGTCTATATGTCGAGATGCATGATCTTCTTTTTCTATTGTCAATGAGAAACGGTGATTATGATAAAGAGGAAACATTAGATAAAAACTGATTCGCTAGGAAACACCAGACAAAATCAAAGAGGAGAATACAGGCTGTACAAATCAAGATTGATGAAACCGATGACAACTTTTTCCGACGAACTAAACTTCTCTTCAACTATGTATCACGAACATATCACAACCCTAGTTTCGGCGACCTTGCAGAAAATCTAGTGGCGCTTCTTTATTAGACACTACTCCGAGGAAAACAAATGCACATGGAGAATAATATGCAGATGTGGAAACTGTAACATCACAAACAAGATAAAACTAAACTGATGAACTTGAACCTGGGTGCGAACCCTTGAGAACTGTCTCTAAATCTTTTACAACTACTACAGTAAAAAGTCATCGTATCATTACAGCAAAATGTCTGGTTGATATTTTGCTATTTGGAAGTTTTCTACAATTCTCTCGGGTAGCCATATTTCTACCAAGCAACGGGGGAAATAAAGTACTCTTTGAACTTTTATATACCTGATGCTTGGTACAAACATGGTTACCAGAGAGAAGTGAGGAAAATTCTAAAAAAAAAATCAAAACATCAACCATCCTCGGCAATTATTGGTCAGAGAAAAGCAGCTCACAGAAGCCAACATTTTTTCTGCAGTTTCCTAAATTCTTTTTTGAAACAGGGCAGGAGAAGGTAGGCATCATGAACAAAAAAATTACATAACGTCCCTACAAAAATTTAGCATCAATTACATTTCAATAAGCAAAACTGCACCCGTGATACGAAAACGCATTCAAACAAGGGAGGGCATTAGGCCAATCCAATATGCACTGTGCATCAAATGTGAGCCAAGCAATTATGTGCAAAAAAAAACCTCATTATTAGTAACGAGTTGCAAGAAGGATGAAATCACAGGCAGCCTCAGGGGGAAACATGCGCAAGGAGGATCTTGAGTATTCGGAGTGGCTGCGGATCACTCGTAAAAGATTACATATACAATGCTAGGATTCGATTTCAGTCAATATAAACACGCCAGAAGAAATTAAGACGCAAGTCCGGATATTAGAGACAGGTCTGTCAAGTGGCTTCTGGGGAGAATGGGGAAACTGGAATTGGCTTGAAGAGTCTTGTGATGCACCGCTGTACCTGCTGATTTCGGGTGAGGTTGTTATTTGATTTAAATTTTTATAGTTTGATTTTGAGATGTAACATTCGCCCGGAAGTACATACCGACGGAAAATAAAGCTAGGTTCTAAAACGACGGGCTAGCGTCTAAACAGCTTCACATGCTTCTAACCCTCTAGTAGTAGTAGTAGTAGTAGTAGTAGTAGAATAGGCTTCAGAGCATTAGCTCTAGGGAGTTTCACCCCTTTTACAGTCCATGTTTTATCTCAGTTTGTTGTAAACATTGCAGTTTCCACATCTGCATAAGAGTTTCCATGTACATTTGTTGACTTCACTGTACATTTTTTTGAAGTATTTCTGGTATATGTAGGTCAGAGTCGCTTTGCTTGGTCTACGGCTAAAAGTTGGGCAGGCTCGGATAAGACAGTTGTACAGATGTTTCACTCGTCTGAAAAAATTGTCGTCCGTTCTTTGCAAGCGGCTTTTTGGGATTTGAAATTCGCCTCTTGATGACTGTCGGGTGATTTCGCATGATTCAGATGGTTTTCGTTCTATTTCTACATCGTAACGATTTTCAAGCAGGGCTATTAGTATAAAAATGTCGTGCATTTCCATGTATAGGTTCAAAGGAAGAAGGTTCAGGTCCTTCAGTCTTTCAGTATAAGTTTTGCTTGTCCCCAAAATCCATTTTGTTGCTAACTTTTGAACTCGTTCGAGTTGTTCCATGTTCGATCTGCTAGGAGTCCATGCTTGGGATGCGTATGTTACTATGGGTACTACATAACCAGTATATGCGTTAAGCCTGGTGGTCACACTGCTTTTCATAGTCAGACTTCGTTTAATCTGGAAGAGAGCACTAATTGCTTTGGATGTCCGACGAGAGCAATTTTCGTTCCATGTGAGCTTGTTGGACACAATCAGTCCTAGGTCACGCTGTGAGTTTACTGAGGAAAGATTTTTGTTCAGGAGACTAGCTTTTAAATCACCTTTGATGCCGAGGAGCGTTGATTTTTTGATGTTGGGTTGCATTTTGTTTTCATGTAGCCATTTCTCTATTTTCAGAGTTGCAGTGTCAAGGGAAGTTTGATTTAGTAGAATGGCCTAAAAGTCATCTGCGTACCCAAAACTGTCTGTGTCATTCATGGTTTCAGGTAGATCGTTTATGAAAAGTAAGAACAGCAGCGGTCCCAGAATTGAACCTTGCGGAACTCCACTGGTGACTTTTTTTAGGGTTGAGCTACAGTCTTCAATCTTAACGCATTGCTTTCTGTTGTTGAGGTATGAATATATCAGTGACAGCAATTTCCCGCCAATTCCAAAAATTTTGATCTTCGTAAGCAGAATATCATGAGGTACAGTGTCGAATGCCTTGGAAAAATCCAAGTATAGAACTGCAAGTTCTTGTACATCTTGTTGATCATTCAATTCGTATATTCGGTCAAGAAATAGAAGAAGTTGAATTGTGGCGGATCTACGCTTTCGAAATCCATGTTGACTTTCATGTAATCTGTATTTCACTTTAGTATAGAGTTTGTCAAATATTATTTTTTCAAGCAATTTTGAGCAGCAGCAGAGTAGGCTGATTGGTCTATAGCAACTGACATCGGTTTTACTTCCTTCCTTGAAAACAGGGGTTACTTCACTAATTTTCCATATTTCAGGAAAAATTCCTTTGTTAAGGCAGGTTTGAAATATAAGGGTAAGTGATTTGCTTAGAGTTTTGTGACATGATTTCAAAATGAGATTGCCAATGTTGTCGTGTCCCATTGATTTATTGACATTAAGTTGCCTCATTATTTCGCTAACTTGACTTTGGTCAACAATAAATCTATTCAGCTCACTTTTTGGAAAGAGGATACCGGTTTGATGTTCTTTTGTGCCAAACACGCTGACGAAATTGTCATTGAATAATTCACATTTTTCTCTTTCATTTGATGATTCAGTGTTTCCGTCTTTGACCGTCGAAGGAATTGTTGGGGTCTTGCGTATTTAAGGTATTTTTGAATTTCGCTGAAAGTTCTTCCTTCTAGGACGGTTTTTTCATATTCCGCTAGGTCATCTTCGGAAAACCTTTGAATATCTTTTTCAAGTTTTTTGATCTTTAATAGTCTTTCGAGACCTTGTTTTGGTTTTCTTTTCATTGTTTGAAGTTTTTTGATGAGGTGGGAGGTGGCTGGCGTGATCCAGGGTTCTAACTTTGATCGATGCTCAGTTAGTCTAGGTACAAACTTTTTGATTTTTTCCCACAGCCATTCGTACCATTGTCGGATAATTTCGTTCACGTTACTGTAGCAGTACGGGATAAACGGTTCAGTTTCTATTGATGAATTTAAGCTGTGCCAGTCTGCTCGTTTGAAAGCATATCGATGATTTGTTATTTTTGGAAGGTTAATGCAGCTAAAGGCGGCAATTGTGATGTAGAGTGGTTTGTGGTCAGAGAACTGACTAGTTAGTTTATCTCGAATATTCCTGTCGATTTGACATTGTGAAATTAATTCTGGATTGTCGCAAAGCAGCACGTCTAGTTGAGTTGGTGCATGTTGTGAAAGATTTAGTTCAACTAATTTGTCCAGTAGTTGACTCTCGTATATGTCAGATGAGGAGAGTGCTTCCCAGTATGTTTGTGAGAAGTTGATGTCACCGGTGAGTATTAAGTCACAGAGGTCATTTTTGTTGGCTAGTTTGAGATTTGCCATTTCATTCATCAAAGTTAAGAAACTTTCAGTGGACCATTGGTATGTGCTAGGAGTGGGTGCATTATAAACACAGCTTAAGATAATTGATCTTTTATTGGAATGTATTTCTATGATGAGATAATCAGACTTGAGACTCTCAATGGAATGTAAGTCATGTGAGATTTCATTTTTGATGGCAATGAGTACACCACCGTGCTTTGTTTTTCTGTTATCTGATGTTTCTCGGTCATTGCGATATACTTGATAGTTCTCTAGGAAGAGCGAGGCTTTTGTTACGTCTTTTGTGAGCCAGGTTTCACAGAGACAGATAATATCGTATTCTGAGTTTGCTATTGCGTTTGACAATTTCATTCTCCTGTTTATATCCAGGATACTTCTGGTGTTGAATGTCAACATTTTCATCGGTTTTAGTCATCCGGTAATGGCAACATCACCAGCTTGGTCTGCATTATTATCGGTTTCCTGGGAAGTTTTACTTTCTTCGTAAACAATCCATTTTTGTTTTCTTTCAATTCTAGTTTAAAATTTCTGATTTTTATCTTGCTCGGGTCGTGACTTTTTACTATCAGTTCCCTCCTTTTCTTGAGACAATTGTTTTCCTTTTCGGCATCCGCCTTGGATAACTCGGGACTGATGAAAACCCGAAGTTCTGAGAAGTCTTTTAGTTTGGAAGTCGATTTTAGGATCAAATTTTTACTAACGCTACTCTCGGTGTTGAACAG